TGGCAAGCTCAAAACCTAATAAGAGCCCATGTTTTAGGCCAAGTTCCAAGGCTGACAAAAGTGGATAGGTTGAAGGCCATCAGGCAGAAGGAATTCTCTCTTATTCAGCCTTGTTATTCCATTCTGGCCTTCAACAGATTGGACAAGGCCCACTCACATTAGGGAAGGAAATCTCTATGGATTCAAATGCTGTCATCACCCCCAAACACATTCAGACACAGAACAGTATTGGATCCAATATTTGGGAACTATGAGGTCCATTCAAATGGACACAAAGTTAACCATCACAGCAGGGAAGGGCTGATGGGGGCATGCTCCTTTCCACAGGGGACTGGGACTTTGGTGGATTTACTGGAGGATGTGTTGCCAGACTGGCAGTGAGGAGTGTTACTGGACTAGACCTTGTCCATTTTCTGGGTTTCAGAAGGGTGGTAATGGCCTCTCCTGCAGCTTCTTTGGCTCTTCAAGTCTGGCCACCAGTGCTAAGATAGACCTTGCCTATTAGGGCAGGCCAATGTGAGCTGTACACTAGTTGGAGTGACATGAATGGACCTAGGAAAAGAAACCTTGACCTTTCTCACTTATGTGAAGAATAGGTAAGCCAGGTTACTTGGAGGTAGACATTGAGGGAAGGATGACTCTTGGAGCTTCCACTTCTAGTCCTCTTCCTGCCTGGGGGGCAGTGAGTTTGCCCTGCCCATTCCTAATGCCCTGGTGACTTTTCCCTCTGTTGGCTATCCTACTGTTCCAAGGAGCTACTTTAATTGCATTCTCTGAAAAGAAAGCAGTCAGCACAAGACTTTGCTTAGGATGAACTTCAAACAGAATTATGCAGTGCTAACAAAGGCAAGTCTTTGGTAAAGACTCCAAAAGAGTGGAGTCTGACCCTTTCTAGGCAAATCTTATTCACATTTTGCAAACTCTTTCTTTGGGGAAAAAAATCTACCAATTGGAGGTTTTGTCTCAGTCAACAAGGGTAAATCAATTCTGCTCTCGAGTCAGAGCAGTTCTTCAGTATGCTGCAAGCAAGCAGAACCTTCATAAAGACTTTCATAAGTTAGAATATATAATCAAAGAGCTGATCATCATAAGGACTTTTCTAAGGTGCAATAGCAGAGGTGACACTCAAGTGCTATGTGCCTACAGATACACTATGCTGTGCACCTTCCATGCATCCTCTCATTGTCCCCGGAATAAAACCATGGGAAAGAAACTATGATTGCCCCCATTTTGCAGATGAAGGACAGTGGCTTAGGGAGATGATAGAACCTGCCAGGATAGATCATCCTGGTGAGACCAGCCATGTCCTGCTCCATAGAACACATACATTTAACCCATTGATGGAACTTCTGGTTTACTTGTAGCTGCTATGGAAAGAAAGCTTTCACTTCAGTCTGAAGGCTCCTCCAGCCAGAGTCCTAGGATTCCAGCACATTGGAGAAGGCTTTGTCCTCCACACACCAGGTGAAAGCAACAATCCAGGGTGCCCAGCAGAAGCAGTCCACTCAAGCTACCTCGCTTTTATTTCTAATGCTTTAGCCATGACTGCATTTGAGAAAAGGAACTTCTCCTTGAGATGTCCACCCCCATCCCCAAATGCTTGGTTGTGTAAAGCTTGGGCATGTCCTCTACCAGCTTTAGCAGCTGGAAGGAGCTTGCAGCTCACCCATTACCACCTTTTAAAGCTTTCTAAAATGGGATAAATGGGTTTTCTTTCTTTCTTTTTTTTTTTTGCATTATAATTCTTATTACACATATACAGCACAATTTTTCATATCTCTGGTTCTATATAAAGTATGTTGACACCAATTCGTGTCTTCATACATGTACTTTGGATAATGATGTCCATCACATTCCACCATCCTTGC